TGATAAAATATTGCTTGAGCTGTACTTCTGAAGAAATGAAAATAACTCGCAGAGAAGGCAAGCTGAATGGAGCATACATGTGAAAACCAAGTTGGAAAAAGAGCAAATATATGAAACTAGAACTGAAAATAATAATATAATCAAAAGACAAGGAAACAATAGAAATCTGGCCGATTCAAGTGTTTAAGGCCAGCTGATGCTAAAAAGAAACCAAAGGCAGGAACATGTAATTCCGCACCACGCATAGGGCCTGTGCTTCCGCTAAACACACTGGGAGGGAATGGGTTTCACAATTATCAAATGGTTTTCTAAGAAATGTAGTTGCTTTAAACAACCCTTATATTCATCACAAACTCTTCTAGAAAGACAGAAGTTGTTTTTTCTTCTGATGCCAGAAGATGTAATCTTTCTAGTCTATAAAAACGGTCCTGCTATGAGAGAACACCTTCTAATCTCACAGAGGCTCAGTGTAGATTTTTTTGGTTCAATAACTGCTAGAATGCTAGCAAAACTGCCTCTGGAAAATGGAATCCAAAAAACAAAGCTCTATTTCTTTCAAAAATACGTAAGGAATAAAGTGTAAGACACAAAATTGGCCTTGACTGTCTGGAAAATCTAAAAGCATCTACGTATCAGCAGAACTAAGAAGTTTCAGCTCGATTCCAAAAATTAGGAACAAACAACAAGTGTGTCTCCGTCACCTAGCACTGCTGTAACAGGAACGCCACAAGTGGAGGCTTTAACGAAGAGAAGTTTATTTCCTCACAATTAAAGTAGGCTACAAGTCCAAACTCAGGGCGTCAGCTCCAGGGGAAGGCTTTCTCTCTGTCGGCCTTCTTCTCTTCGGTGTTCCCCGCACTAGGAGCTTCTCTGCGCAGGGACCCCGGTCCAAAGGACGCGCTCTGCTCCCGGCACTGCTTTCTTGATGGTATGACCCCGTCTCACTGCTCACTTCTCTCTTTTATATCTCAAGAGATTGCCTCAGGACACAATCCAGTCTTGGAGATCCAGTCCTGCCTTACTAACACAACTGCCACCCATCCTCCCTCATTAACATCATAGGGGCAGGTTTACAACTTACAGGAAAATCACACTGTACCAGGAATCATGGCTAGCCAAATTAATACACACATTTTTGGGGGGACATAATTCAAACCATGACATTACAATAAAAAAAAAAATCCCACTCACCAAAAACAAAACAAAACAAAACAAACCCATTACCGTCAAGTCAATTCCGACTCATAGCAACCCTACAGGACAGAGTAGAACTGCTCCATAGCGTTTCCAAGGAGCAGCTGCTGGATTTGAACTGCTGACCTCTTGGTTAGCAGCCGAGCTCTTAACCACTGCATCACCAGGGTTCCGAATACCTACCATAGTTGCTTTCAAATGATAAGTATAATTTTTTAACATCACACTCACAGCAGCAATTAATACTAAAAAGTACACAGGAATTTTTTTCAAAATATACAAACCTTTATAGACAAAAATTATAAAACTTTATTGAAAGACAAAAAGTGAATAAATGGAACAATATGGAAAACTTAACACTATAATGATGATAATTCTCCCACTATACTGTAAATATAGTGCAATTCTAATTATAATCCCAGCTTTTTTTTTTTTTTGGTGGAACTTAAGATTATCTTTACATTAATATGAAAGAGGAAAGTCAAGAATAATGAAGACGATTCTGAAGAACAACAAGATTAGAGGCCTACCACTTACCCTTCAGAATTAATTATAAAGCTATTTTTAAGGAAAGTTTCATACAATTAGCACAGACAGACCAATGGAATAGAACAGAAATCAAACCACACATACAAAGGGAGCTGGTACTATAAGAGAGGACGTACTACAAAGTCAATGAGAAATGGATGAATTATTTAAGAAATAATGCTACGAGAACTGCCTATCGATACAGGATCAGATTTCTACCTCACAGCAGTCACAAAAATTAATTCGAGGTGAATGAGACATATTTTGAAATTCAAAAGTTTAAAACTTTAGAACAAGATATAACAATTTTTTTAAACCCCAGGGAAGGCACAAAATTTTTAAACATAACAAAAAAAAGCTCCATCATAAAGGAAAAGAATGATCAATTTGGCTATATTTAACTGAAATATTCTGTACAATTAAGATAATCACAGACCATATTAAAGACAAGCCACGTTCCAAATGAAGCTCTTTAACAGATAAAGTGTTAGGATGAAAAAGAAGACAAGCAAAAATTCACAAACTAATGCCCACTAAATACCAGAAATGAAACTAAGATCCTTGGTAGTCAGGGAAATGTAAACTAAAACAAAGAGATCCCATCTCGCAGCTCCCAGACTGGAAAAGGTTACGAGTCTGGTGAGGAGGGAGGAAGGAAAATTCTCTCCTGCTGCTGTGGGAGCGCAGACCTGCACGCGGCTCTGGAGAGCAGCCTGAGGACACCCGAAGGCAGGGAGCGTGCACAGCCTGCCGCCCGAGTTCCACAGTCAGGCATACAGCCGCAGTGTTAGCACGTCTGCATGAGGAAACATGGTCAAGAATGTATACTTACAGCACTGTTCAAACTGGCAAGAAAACCCTGAAATGACCATGGCAGGAGGGCGAGGGACCAGTAAATCCTAAGCCACAGTTACACTGAGTCAAAAAGCAAATTACAAGAGATTACATAAAACGGGATACCGTGAATATAAACTTTAAAATACTATATATTGTTTATGGATATAAACACATGTGGTAAAGCATAAAACCTTAAAAACCCATTGCTGCCAAGTCGATTCTGACTCATAGTGACCCTACAGGACAGAGCAGAACTGCCCTGTATGGTTTCCAAGGGGCGGCTGGTAGATTTGAACTGCCAACCTTTTGATTAGCAGCTGAGCTCTTAAGCACTGCGCCACCAGGGCTCCAAAATCTTAAATAGGAACTCCAAAATAACAAGTCAGCTCCAGGGAGGGAAGGAGAGGAATGGGGGCAGGGATGAGTACAAAATAGTAGTAGTTTCTCTCTTTAAAAACCAGAAGCAAGTGTGGCAGAGACGTTCACAAAGAGTACCAGGGCCTTTATGTTCTATGATTTTTTTAGTATACTTGAAATAGTTTGTAATTAAAAAGAATTTTAATGGGCACATATGGTATAACAAATAATATTATTCACACCACAAAACTTATGAAGGAATAACATTAATTTTTTGGTCACAAAAACTTATATACATACATTAGAGCATGTGATAAATGAGTCAAAAATAAATTTTAATATTTGCAGTTTACTTTAGGGTTTTAAATGAGTAACTGGCTAGCGGGCTTTGAATCTCATGCAATTTCAAAATGTCCTTTATGCAAAAATTTCAAGGCATGCTCCCCTTTTTGATAATGTTGTCAACGCTACATAAATAAAAACATGAATTAATGTGGTCATCTGAATTCCAGTCTCCTTTTGGAAAGCTTCTGCTTTAGCATATAGACAGTAACAAGCTTTACATGTGCACCTGCAAGTCTGAAAGAAATGTGTCGAGAGTTCCAAGTATGAAGAGCAGACACCCCACTTAATTACAGGGTTTCATCAGGGACCTGAGGCCCTAATACTAACATGGAAAAACAATGCACCATTCTTCCCTTTCCTTTTCTACTTGCGGATTGGGTCAGAAGACAAGAAGTACCAAAAACAGTTATAGGCAAAGCATTATTATAAAACCATTTTTAACAGAAGAGAAAACTTTCACAAAGGAGTAACAAAATCCTTTGGGATTACTACATTGGAAAGGGACACAGAAAGATGGAGAATATTTTAAGACAGGGGTTAAGAGGAGGTAGTAGGATTTTGCTATCTGTACTTCACTTACTGACTCCTTGAGCCTCAAGGCTAGAAGATAATAAATACTACAGGAAAAACTAGGAGACAGACAAAACTGGGTAGGACACGGCATCTATAAATACTCACACGTAATACTCCGCTCCCGACTGTAATCCTGGGACCACATTCATACTATTTCAATAACAGCCATGTTACCCAGTTGATGGTAAGCAGTAATTTTATTTGGTATGAGTTGCTTTTTGCCAATAAAACATTTGCAACAGAAATGGTCAGCTGATCTCAAGTAACCTAGCTATTACATATGCTAATATTTCCCATGAAATGGAAGACTGCAATAAAACTATTCCAAGTCTCAAATTTCCACATTTCTACATTTTGGGCACAATTATTAAGGGGAATAGTGCTGTGGCAAAAGACAGGTTTTCACCCACTCTACTTCAGCCTACTATACTAAATTGTACTCCTAAAATTCTTAACTTTTATTTCTGAAGGCTGAAAAGAATTCGCTCCCACAAATCCCTTATTTAGTGTAACTTTGGCCAGTAATAAGAACAACATTTTGTTTACAAAATTGAAGGCTTTCTACAACACTTTTAAATTTTCTGTTTTTCCACCAGATCTTATGTTTCAGAAATACTCATTTATTTCCCCTCTCATGAGAGGGACGACTACCTTTCTGCCTCATGAAGGTAATAGTCTAATTCCTACTTCTCTCAAATTCTCCCCCTCTGGAGACTCAGTCAAACTGAATAATAAATTCACTGGTAAGTCTGCAATTCAGATTTCACGAATGCATGGAAATTCTTCCACAAGCAAAGTGTCAGTGTTGTGAATTTGATTTTCTAAATTTCATAATCCTTGATAAATGGAGGCACCATACAGTCAGTTTACACTCTTTTATATAGGATTTCAGAGCATGCTGCAAGTAGCTTAAGATAAGCCATATTAAGTAGCTTAGTCCTTTTTATAATTAAAAAAACTACAAATATCAGAATATTTTTACGTATTTTTTTGTCAGACTAATAAATAACAAGTCTTAAAATATCTGTAGATGTAAATCGTTAACCCTCCCAGCTCACTGTGCCTCCCCTGGACTGTTCTACGGCACAGATCAACAAGCTGAACAGACTTCTCGGTCTAATATAGTTGGTGCAAGGCTTTCACAAATTCCAATTCTGTAATGTGGGGTTTCTTTCATATTTATTTTAAAATATACAAATAGATTAAACTATTAATATAAATATTTTCTCTCAAATATGTTATATTCTTTTGTAAAAGAAAAGGCTTCCAAACATTTACAAAGCAATCTAAAGGTAAGTAAACCTGATTTCAGGATCATTACATTAACCAAAAGAACTTCCCAGAGACGCTCCTATTTAAAAGTAATGCTCACTGGCTTCTTCACATCAGCACTTCACGATGGATCCAAATCCAATGTCTTACTTGACTGACTTCAGGGATCACTTCCAGTGATAAAAGTACCTCAGAAAAAGGTCTCGCGACAGAGCGGACAAGTGGATTTGTTGCTCGACGTAAACCATTTGTACTGAAAAAGAAAAAGGTTTTAATGTTAAAAGAACTTTTTAAAGGCGACATCTTAAAGACACCCATCTAAACAAAAAAAAAAAACCCATTGCCATCAAGTCAATTCCGACTCATAGCGACCCTACAAGGACAGAGTAGAACTGCCCTCCTAGGGTTTGCAAGGAGCGGCTGGTGGATTCGAACTGCCAACCTCCTGGTTAGCAGCCAAGCTCTTAACCACTATGCTACCAGGGCTCCACACATCTAAAGTAGCTTTAAAATGATCAAGTGAAAAAGAAAACACTGAAAGACTTGCCCTCTCCACTTATCTCCAGAACCAACACAACCGAATGGTCTTCCAAAGGCTACGCTATGAATGGCTCTCTGTCTAGGCTCACGCACACAACCACCAAGCTACGTAAGGAAGACCTCCTGGGAGGCAAGGGAACGTAGGGCAACTTTCCTTTCAGTAGGATGTCTGAAAAGAGCAAGGGCTCTGATGCTGGACAACTCCACCACTTAGTACGTGTCAAACCCTCAGCAGCTTCCTTAACCTTTGGAAGCCTGTCCCCTCATCTATGCACTAGGAATTAAATCATCTTCTACTTCTGCAGGTTGACATGAAGATTAACTGAGAGCACATACATGTCCTCATTTACACACACACACACACACAGCTGTTAGCTGCTATCGAGTCAGTTCCGACTCATGGCGATCCCATGCACAGTGGAATGAAATGTGGCCCGGCCCTGCGCCATCCCTGTGATCAACTGCAGATCAGGCCAGTGTGACCCACAGGGTTTTCACTGGCTGACTTTCAGAAGTAGATTGCCAGGCCTTTCCTCCTAGTCTGTCTTAGTCTGGAAGCTCTGCTGAAACCTGTTCAGCATCACAGTAACACACAAGCCTCCAGTGACACATGACTGGTAGCTGCACGTGGGGTGCACTGGCCAGGAATCAAATCTGGGTCTACCATGTGGAAGGCAAGGATTTTACCACAGAACCACCGATGCCTCGTAACACATACAAACATACACACACATACGTTTGTGTGTGTGTGTGTGTAAAATCAGCTTGGTGTACAGTATGAAAATGTTAGTTTTCTTCTCCTTTCCTCCCCTCTTAATTTCCAACTTCTATCATACCTTAAAAAGTAAAGCTCCCTCCAACTGTCAACACTCCTGTCCCAATTCTTTTAGTCTCCAATATGCTCTAGATTTCACAGGACCATTTATATCCTGAGTGCTGAGAGCTACTCTAAGGAACATCCATTTATTAAAGTGCTTTGATGCTGCCAGTCTCAATAAATTACTAATTCTGTTTAATAAATTTGGAAAAATCATTTTTAATGTCTCCCATTAACTAACTACAGTTAAGAGTCTGACATCCATTGTTGTCTTTTCCAAAGATTACAAATATACATAAAATATTACAAAAGTTCATTTCTCTTTAGACTTACCAAACAGGCTGAATGGAACTTTTTCTTGCAGGTTCTACAGGCTTTTTTGGGAAGAGAATAGTTGAAACCATGAATGACTGAGAAACAGATCATGCAGTCTTCAACACCCTCAAAACGTTTATCGACATTATTTTTCCATAACGCTAAGCCTTCCATAATACTTCCATTCTGTCAACAAGAAGCAGAAAAAAAAAAAGTCAATATACACCGCACACCACCAATGTTACCTGTATTAAATTTCACACACTTGTAAAGCAGAATTATAATTCTGAGAAGAGAATCTGCTTGCCTATCCTCACACACCCTAAGCTTTGAATGCTGGTTTTTAAAACGACCTCCCAAATTTTAGGAACCATATGTCATTTTTCTCCATTGAAGACAGAAAAGAAAGGTTTGTGGACCGATACCTTCAGTCTCCTAGTCTCAGCTTGTCTGATGACACCCTTTCAGTCACTTGGATTAGTTCTCCTAAGCTTTAACTGACAATGATTAATTATCTCACCTTCCCAACTGCTGATGTATTCCCACTTTACAATACTGGTGGACACATGTTTTCAGATAATATTTAATCATCGTAGACTGCCTGTGAAATATCACAACGTGCATGCAGAAACGGAGAAGGCTTATTGTCTGTTTAAACGTCAAGTGCTTTGTCTTTCAAAGTACTGCGATTTCTCTAACCACAGAAGAGAGTTGAAATGTAAAAGTATAGCTCACAAGCCATTCATCCATCCAGTATCTTACAAAAAATTCACTCTCAAATGATTTCCTTAATAAAGAGCCTGGGTGGCACAATGGTTAAGTGCTTGGCAGCTAACTGAAGGTCAGCGGTTTGAACCCACCAGTGGCTCTGCAGCAGAAAAGACCCAGCGATCTGCTCCTATAAAGATTATAGCCTAGAAAACCCTATGGGGCAGTGCTACTTGGTCCCACAGAATCGCTATGAGTCGGAATCAACTTAACGGCACGCCAACAACAGCAACGTGTTTTGCTCTACGTCCTCTACAATGTCAATGAAGTAAAGTCAATTCCTCCCAAACACCAGAGAATTACAGCTTTAAAAATTAAAACAGAGCTGGCAGGTTGAAGTCATTTAAGCATATATCTGTGATTATCCAAGGAAATAGAATATATTTCTATTGTAAGCAGAAGAAATATATTTTAGGTCTTACTGCCTGTTCAGATAGTAGATGGTAAGGCTTTTGCCAGTCTGGAAGACCCAGCTTGTAAGCAGAAACGCCTGTTCAGACAGTAGATGGTAAGGCTTTTGCCAGTTTGGAAGGCCCA